CTTAGTTGCAGCATGCATGTGGGATCTAGTTCCCCGACCAGGGATCGAACCTGTGCCCCCTGCGTTGCGAGTCTTAACCACTGTGCCACAGGGCAAGTCTCCACTATCGGTTTTCTAATAGGCCATTGGTTTTATTCTTACTGATTAGTAAGGGCTTTTAGTATAATTAGACTACATATACTACAGATGTTTTCCCTTGTTTGTTGTTTGCCTTTTAATTACAGTTTTTAAAATTTCCCCTTCTTTTATTTAAAAAAAAAAATCTTTAAATTCATCTGAGTATTGTTCTTAGGCTCTGCTTTACAAACCTGTGGGTGTCTGAATCCATCCCTAGTACTGCCTGGGACTAAATAACCATGTCTTATACTTTTTTTTTTTAGTTCATTAGTTCATGTCTTTTATTAACCAGTATACAATAACCTGTCTTCTGGTTTGTTGAAACAATAGGTCAGACAACATTTGTCACAATAGTGTTTGTCCAAGTGGCTGGCCATAAAAACTCCACACCACATTTACCTGAAGGGCACTCCCGATGAAGGTGGACTGCTTTTGCCATTCTGATCCGCCTTACAGTATTTCAGGACAGCCAGCTTAACCTTTCTCTCTCTCTCTCTCTCTCTCTTTTTTTTCTTTTGGCCGTGTGGCTTGTGGGATCTTAGTTTCCCAACCAGGGATCAAACCTGGGCCCTCCGCAGTGAGAGTGCAGAGTCCTAACCACTGGACCGCCAGGGAATTCCCAACCCTCTTTCTCTTATGCTTGTTCTTCTTGGGAGTGGTGTAAGACTTCTTCCTTTTCTTAGTGCCAGCACGAAGTCTCAACAGAAGATGAAGAGTAGACTCCTTTTGAATGTTGTAGTCAGACAAAGTACGTCCATCTTCCAGTTGCTTGCCAGCAAAGGTCAGTCTTCGCTGGTCAGAAGGAATTACTTCCTTATCTTGGATCTTGGCCTTTACATTTTCTATTGTATCCGAGGGTTCGACCTCGAGAGTGATGGTCTTCCCTGTCCGGATCTTCACAAAAATCTGCATCCTGGTGGCGGCACCACCACAGATGGTGGATCCAAAAAGCCTATGTCTTATACTTTTGTACCATTGTCACAGGATGTAAACGATAGGATTTATTTTATTAAAATACTGAATCATCTAAAAGTGTTACTCAATTCATGGTTATATTTTGTCATTAGGTATTTTATTTGGTCAGTGGATGCTGTGTGTAAATTACTGTCATATAGGAGTTAGTAACTGCTGCTTTCATCTAGGACGGTCCTATACATATAGGTCAAGTCTGGACACAGTAGAGGCTACACATTATTAAGGAGTCTTCAGAAGTTTTCTACTTATCTACCTCTGGGGTGAAGGGGGAAACGGACCAATGATTACCTCCCAGACCCAGGGTGACTGTCCCACTCCTTAGCCTCTTCTAGCCTCCCTAGTGTTGGCTATCCCAGGCAGAGTTTAGAGATGGAGTTCCTCCAAATCTATGGGTAAGTGTAAGACCTGTGTTCAGGAATGGAAAACTTGAAATTTCCTGATTGAAATATTTTTTTTCCATAGAAGAGGACAGGAGAGAAGAGGTGATCCAGGCCTGGGGAGGTTGCTGATGCCCTCTGGGTTACACAGGTTAAGCTAGAGATGCCTGTTACCCATTCAGGTGACTGTCGAGTAGACAGCTGGGTATGAAGATCTGGGGTTAGAAGAGAGATCTGAGCTTGATACTTAGATTTGGAAGCCATTTGTGTATGCACGGTAATTGAAAACATTGGGGGTACATGAGATTGCACAGGGGGTGTATATAAGTGAAATGAGAGCTAAAAAAGAAACTCCAGCGTTTAGGGGATGGGCAGAGGAAGAAAAGCCAGCAAAAGTGGTAGAAATGTTGAAGTCAGATAAAAAGCCGCAGTGACAAGCACTGTGGTACAGTGATAAGAATATTTGCATTAAAGTCAGACATAGTGGCTCTGTAACTTGAGGCAAGTTTCTTAACTCCTCTGGGTCTGTTTCCCCAATCCAACATGAAGGCAATACCTACTTTAAAGGACTGTTTCCTACATGAGAATGTAGGAAAGCTCCTGGTTCTGTTCAGCAGAGAATGGGTGCTTCGGAGGAGCTAAGGAAGACTACCAAGAATATGATCCCCTAAGGGCACTCTCAGGGCTTAAACCAGAGATGACCGTTATTTGCTTTGCAGAGGTGTTGTGAGATTAGTAACACTGTAAGCAAAACCTCTAACTGTGCCCAGTCTTAGGACACAAGAACCCAGGATTTGAGTATCAGAATCAGACTTTTTTCAGTTACTACTTTGACGTTGGCCTATCCTTGAGCCAAAGACAGAATTACAGTTGGCCCTCAGTATCCACAAGTTCTGCATCCTTGGATTCAACCAAATGCAGATCAAAAATGTTTGGAAAAAATCCAGAAAGTTCCAAAAAAGCAAAACTTGAATTTGCCACATGCTGGCACCTGTTTACATAGCATTTACATTGTATTAGGTATTATAAGTAATCTAGAGATGATTTAAGGTATATGGGAGGAGGTGCATAAGTTATATGCAGGTACTGCACCATTTTATATAAGGGACTTAAGCTTCTGTAGATTTTGGTATCTGTGGAGGGGACAGGGAGGGACCCTGAGGAAATTGAGGGACGACTGTATATTAATTGCCTCTAAACACTATCTTCAAGTCCTTTTCTTCCTGAGGAACTTCCTCTGTTAGAAAATAAAACTGGGAATTACAGAACATCCATTTCCTCTAGTATAGTAAATTCAAATGTTAAGATACCCATACTTGAGACTCCCCTGGTGGCACAGAGGTTAAGAATCCACCTGACAATGCAGGGGACATGGGTTCGAGTTCTGGTCTGGGAAGATCCCACATGCCGCGGAGCAACTAAGCCCGAGTGCCACAACTACTGAGCCTGTGCTCTAGAGCCTGTGAGCCACAACTGCTGAGCCCGCATGCCACAACTACCAAAGCCCACGCACCTAGAGTCTGTGCTCCGCAACAAGAGGAGCCACCCCAATGAGAAGCCTTCACGCTGCAACTAGAGAAAGCCCGCGCACAGCAACAAAGACCCAACGCAGCCAAAAATTAACAATAAATAAATAAATTAATTTTAAAAAGATATCCATACTTTATGTTCACCTATGTTTAGAATAAAACTATTTTAAACTAGTTTTTAAACAAACAATAAAGGTAATATGTGAAAATTACATATAGGTATAAAGAATTTCAAACTATACAGAGAGGTATAATATGAAAAGTAATTCCTTCCCCTCATCCAATTCCCTTCCCAAGAGGTAACCACTGTTAATAGTTTCTTGTGTATCATTCCCATTAACATAAATACTTATATAGGTATATTCTCCCCCCCACACACAAATGGACTTATACTGTATATAATATTCTATGCTTTCATTGCTTTTTAATTTAACACTGTCTCTTGAGGAGATAGTTTTTTCATATCAACATAGGTAACTCTTCCTTGTTCTTTTAACAGCTGCACAGAAATCCTTTATACGATGCGACAATTTGCTTAACAGCCTCCTACCTCCTATTGCTGGATGTTTAGGTTATTTCCAATTTGTGGTATTACAAATACTGTAATGAATATTTTCGCATATGAATGAGTTTTTGCACATTTGTGCAGTATAGCTATAGGATAAATTCCTGTTGGATGAAGGAGGAAGTGTCCTTGAAAATTTGATATTATCAAATTGCCCTCCAAAGAGGGCACTTCCTCCAATTGGGGTAATCCAGTCCCCCAAACTCACCCCAACACCATATTGAACTTAAAAGTCTCTGACAGTGTAGTAGGTGAAAATAGTATCTTGCTTTAATTTCTTCTTAATTGAAGTATAGTTGATTTATAATATTATATTAGTTTCAGGTGTATAACATAGTGATTCAGAATTTTTATAGATTATACTTCATTTAAAGTTATTACAAAATAATGGCTGTATTTCCCTGTGCTGTAGAATATATCCTTGTTGCTTATTTATTTTATACATAGTAGTTTGTATCTCTTAATCCCACACCACTACCTTGCCCCTCCCCACTTCCCTCTCCCCTCTGGTAACCACTAGTTCTCTATATCTGTGAGTCTATTTCAGTTTGTTATATACATTCGTTTGTTATATTTTTAAAATTCCACGTATAAGTGATATCTTGCTTTAATTTGTTCTTTTATTGCAAGACAACATTTATATCATATATTGGCTATTTTTATTTATATTTCTGTTCCTGTGCTTTGCTTACTTTTCTCTTTTTTAAAAAACTGATTTAAGAATTCTATTGATCTTGATATGTAATGTCTTTTATTTTTTTTATTAAAATTTTTTTTTAAATTAATTTATTTATTCAGTTTTGGCTGCCCTGGGTCTTTGTAGCTGCACGCAGGCTTTCTCTAGTTGCTGCGAGCGGGGGCTACGCTTCGTTGCAGTGCAAGGGATTCTCATTGCAGTGGCTTCTCTTGTTGCAGAGCATGGGCTCTAGGCGCACGGGCTTCCGTAGTTGTGGCACGTGGGCTCAATAGTTGCGGCTTGCGGGCTCTAGAGCGCAGGCTCAGTAGTTGTGGCACACGGGCTTAGTTGCTCCGTGGCATGTGGGATCTTCCCGGACCAGGGATCGAACCCGTGTCCTGCTTTGGCAGGCAGATTCTTAACCACTGGACCACCAGGGAAGTCCTGTAACGTCTTTTAATATGAAGTTAACGCATTATCTATCATCCTTGGCAAATATTTTTTTACAAACTTTTTTGTACTTTAAGTTTTTTTATACTCCTTTTTTTTCTCTGCAGGAGTTCTAAAATTTTACATATTCATGTATGATCAATCTTTTCCTATATAGCTTCTTTTCCACTCTAAGATTTTTTTAAAAATTCAGCAGTGTCTTCTCTAGTAGTTGTACTTTTTATGTTAGGGTGTTTGATCTACCTGAAATTGATAGGGCTGCCCTTGGTGATAGTGGTTACTACTAACCAGCCCTCACGCCCCGCACTCACCGGCCTCAGCACTCTGCACACTTCCTGGAGGATCCGCTCCTGGTTCTTCACGGAGCACAGGACCAGTGTGCAGACCACCACATCCATGGAGTCGTCGGCCACCTGGTGCAGGTCCTCCCCGGCAGCCACCAGGAAGTGCTCAAACTGTAGGTGTCGGTTCTCAGCAATGCTCTTGATCAAGAACTTCTCAAAGTTGGGGTTGGGATCAATACAGGTCACCCGGCATCCAGGCGGGTAGAACTTGAAGTTGGGCCCTGTGCCACAGCCCAGCTCCAGCAGGGAGAGCTTCCCGGAGGGGCCTGCGAACTCCTGTAGATTGCTGAAGAGCTCCTGCTTCTTGCTTGCCATCTGTTTGTTGTACATCACAGTAAACCTTGCCAAGAAGTAGGGGAGCGATTTTTTGCATATCCAGTTCCACAGGCCCAGGAAGTCCAGCAGGTACATGGGAAATGCCAGGATGCAGACGGCCAGCCGGAGGATAAAAATGGTCAGCGCCATCACTCAGAAGAGAAGAAAACAGATCAGCAGTTAGAGGCCTGACTCCTTTAATTGCAGGAAGTACGTTTCTGGCCACATTCCAGAGCCAATCAGCTGCAGAGGAAAGAGCTTGTTGTGCTGGAAAGACGCAGCTGAAGTAAAATCTCGGGCAAGAGGCCCATTTCACCCAGTTATTAGATGTTTGCCAAAAGTTGCCTCATAGCTTACTTTTCATGAAGTAAAATGAGAAGGTTCTCAGCTTTTCCTTAGAAGGAAGGCTGATTACAACCCATTATTACAAATCTATTCCCGCTTGGAGACTACTGCATGTTTCCTGCTGAAGTTTTAAATGCACAGCATACTTACAGCCTGTCTGGCTCTCCAGTGACCTCTGCTAAGAAAACAGAATCCGTGGGTGGAGCCTGGTTAAACCACACCAGAAAGCCACTGCCAAAGCCCATTTATTACGTGACCCCTCCTACTTCCCTTCCATTCCGCCCTCATGTTTTTTTAAACAAATTTTTTTTCTGAAGATTTTATTTATTTTTTTGTCTCTTGTGGATGCCTTTTTTTTTTTTTTTTTTTTTTTTTTTTGGCTGCATTGGGTCTTTGTTGCTGCATGTGGGTTTCTCATTCCAGTGGCTTCTCTTGTTGCAGAGCACAGGCTCTAGGCGCGTGGGCTTCAGTAGTTGTGGCACACGGGCTCAGTAGTTGTTATAGCAGCCTATATTTTGAAAAGCATTTCCCTCACCCCCTTTTTTTCTTCAGTCTCTGTAGGCAGTATTTTCGTTTTCTCCTGGGGTGTTTACATTTCAAAGACATTCACAGCTTCAGGGACAGAGAAAGAATGAAGTTTTTCTCCTAGGAGTTTTGGGGTGTATTTCTCTATTATCAGAAGTCTAGGGTGACTACTATTTAAATTTTTTCTTTGTATTAGGGGTTGGGCAACATGAGGCACTCTGTTTCAATCACCACAACATCCTCCCCTTTGCTCTCCTCACTTTCCCAGGGATTCTCCCTCTTAGCATCCTAGTCAGGCTTTCCCACAAGTACTTGGACCTTAATCTGCAGTAGCTTGTGCCCTCCTAGCTTTGCAAAATGGCACATGAAGGTCTCCAACTTATTATTCTGCTCTTGTACCTTGTCTGCCAGCCCCGAAGTTAGCAGAGTAGTGGACAACTGCATGTTCTTCTCTAACTTCAGCTCTTCTTCCAACTGTCTAACTCAAGCTTCAGCCTCTATTTGGGCATCAGTGGCCACAGAACTGCCCACAGTAGAGGACAGCCCACCGCAGGAGCCATTTGTTTCCCTTCTTTGTCACAGTGTGCTCTGCTCAGTTCCTCAAACAAATGCATCAACACACCCGGCTTTTTCAGGGTGCCCCTGTACTCACACATTGGTCCACAAGCATCTAACATACAGGCCACCCCTCCTGACATAGAGGTTGATGTCTAACTCAGGATATTATCCTAAATGCCTCTTGCCCGGGGCTTGTTTCTTCAGTCTCCTGGCTACCTTATCAGTTGTTAGTTCACAACCTGGCTGCTGTACACGCTGAGCAAGGAGAGACTGAAGAAAGAAGCAGACAACTCCAGATTGGTAGCTGGCAGGTTTAATAAGAAGGGGGCTTACTTATGAGGCTTGCCTTAGATGGCCACGAGATGAGTAGATCTCCACGCCCACCACCAGAATCATAAAAGTTTAGATAGAGGCCTTAACTGGGATCTGTCACCTCCTCAGTCCAATGGTCTCAACACCTTACTCTCTCAAAGCTGTATCCTTGGAACAGCTCCCATTGTGGGAACAGTGGTAAGAATGGACATTTCAAGGGCAGTTGCGGGAATGAGGAACCTCTGATTGCCTGGGTCCAGCCCATCAGTCAATCACTGATCACGTCCTCTTGATGACCTCCTCCAATATACTTTGTGTCCTTTTTTTTTTGACCACACCCCGGGGCATGCAGGATAATAGTTCCCCCACCAGGGATCGAACTTGGCCACCCCCACCCCCCACCCCCCGCCCCCCGCAGTGGAAGCACGGAGTCTTAACCACTGGACAGCCAGGGAAGTCCAGTTTGTGTCCTTTTTTTAGTCAGTTTATCTAGAGGTTTTTCACTTGTATTGATCTTTTCATAAAACTAGCTTTTAAGTTTTGTTAAATTTTTCTCTAGTGTTTGTTTTCTATTTCATTATTTCTGGACTTTATTATGTTTTTTTCTACTTACATTGAATTTAATTTGATCATCTTTCACTTCTGAAGTTGAAAGCCTTAATAATTGATATAAGCCCCCTTGCCTCTTCTAATGTAAGTATTTGAAGCTATAAGTTTTTCTTATAGCACTGTTTTAGGTGGATACACAAAGTCTGATGTACTGTGTTTTCATTTTCATTCAATTTAAAATGTTTTCTAATTTTCCTTGTGATTTTTTTCTTTGACCCCATGGATTATTTAGAAGTTGTTTAAATATTTGGGGCTTTCATAGGTATCTACGTATATTGATTTCTAATTTAATTTTATTGTCACAGAACATACTATGTGGGCTTCAATCTTTTGAAGTCTATTTAAATTTGTTTTATGGCCGAGAATATATTTTTTCTCAGAAAATGGTCCCTGTTCATTGAAAAGAATGTGTATTCTGAAGTTGTCAGGTGTAATGTTCTATAAATGTCAATTAAGTTAAGGTAGCTGAAAGTGTCATTCACATCTTCTGTATTCTTATTATTTAGTTGCTCTGTCAATTATAGTGAGAGATGTCTTACATCTACAATTATGATTGTGAATTTGTTTTTCCCTTTAGGTATTTCAGTTTTTGCTTCATGTATTTTGAGACTCCATTATTAGGCACAAATACATTTATAATAGTTGTAGCTGCCTGATATATTTCCTTTTCATCATTATGAAGTGTCCTTCTTTGTTTTTAGTGTCTATTTTTGTCCTGAAGTCTATTTCGTCTGGTATGTATTTAGCCACTCCGTATGCTTTCTAATGTTTCCTCTTTCCAACTTTATTTTTTATTGGAGTATAATTGCTTTACAATGTTGTGTTGGTTTCTGCTGTACAATGAAGTGAATCAGCTATATGTATACATACGTCCCCTCCCTCTTGGACCTCCCTCCCACCCATCTAGGTCATCACAGAGCACCGAGCTGAGCTTCCTGTACTCTATAGCAGGTTCCCACTAGCTATCTGTTTTACACATGGTAGTGTATATGTATCAATCTTAATCTGCCAGTTCGTCCCACCCTCCCCTTCCCCCACTGTATCCACATGTCTGTTCTCTACGTCTGTGTCTCTATTCCTGCCCTGGAAATAGGTTCATCTGTACCATTTTTCTAGATTCCACATATATGCGTTAGTATACGATATTTGTTTTTCTCTTTCTGACTTACTTCACTCTGTATGACAGTCTCTGGGTCCATCCACATCTCTACAAATGACCCAATTTTGTTCCTTTTTATGGCTGAGTAATATTCCATTGTATATATATACCACAGCTTCTTTATCCATTCATCTGTTGATGGACACTTAGGTTGTTTCCATGTGCTGGCTATTGTAAATAGAGCTGCAATGAACATTGGGGTACATGTGTCCTTTTGAATTATGGTTTTCTCAGGGTATATGCCCAGTAGTGGGCTTGCTGGGTCATATGGTAGTTCTATTTTAGTTTTTTGAGGAACCTCCATACTGTTCTCCATAGTGGCTTTATCAATTTACATTCCCACCAACAGTGCAAGAGGGTTCCCTTTTTTTCCACGCCCTCTCCAGCATTTATTGTTTGTAGATTGATTACGGCCATTCTGACCGGTGTGAGGTATTACCTCACTGTAGTTTTGTTTTGCATCTCTCTGATAATTAGTGACGTTGAGCATCTTTACATGTGCCTCTTGGCCACCTGTCTGTTTTCTTTGGAGAGATGTCTATTTAGGTATTCCATCCATTTTTTGATTGGGTTGTTTGTTTTTTTGATATTGAGCTGCTTGTATATTTTGGAGATTAATCCTTTGTCCATTGATTTGTTTGCAAATATTTTCTCCCATTCTGAGAGTTGTCTTTTTGTCTTGTTTATAGTTTCCTTTGCTGTGCAAAAGCTTAAGTTTAATTAGGTCCCATTTGTTTATTTTTGTTTTTATTTTCATTACTCTAGGAGATGGATCAAAAAAGATCTTGCTGTGGTTTATGTCACAGCGTGTTTTTCCTATGTTTTCATCTAAGAGTTTTATACTGTCTGGTCTTACATTTAGGTCTTTAATATATTTTGAGTTTATTTTTGTGTATGGTGTTAGGGAGTGTTCTAATTTAATTCTTTTACATGTAGCCGTCCAGTTTTCCCAGCACCATATATTGAAGAGGCTGTCCTTTCTCCATTGTATATTCTTGCCTCCTTTGTCATAGATTAGGTGACCATAGGCGTGTGGGTTTATCTCAGGGCTTTCTATCCTGTACCATTGATCTATATTTCTGTTTTTGTGCCAGTACCATATTGTCTTGATTACTGTAGCTTTGTAGTATAGTTTGAAGTTGGGGAGCCTCATTCCTCCAGCTTCATTTTTCTTTCTCAAGATTGCTTTGGCTATTGGGGGTCTTTTGTGTTTCCATACAAATTGTAAAATTTTTTCTTCTGATTCTGTGAAGAATGTCAGTGGTAATTTGACAGGGATTGCATTGAATCTGTAGATTGCTTTGGGTAGTTTAGTCATTTTCACAATGTCAATTCTTCCAATCCAAGAATATGGTATATTTCTCCATCTGTTTGTGTCATCTTTGATTTCTTTCATTAGTGTTTTATAGTTTTCTGAGTACAGGTCCTTTGCCTCCTTAGGTAGGTTTATTCCTATGTATTTTATTCTTTTTGTTGCAATAGTAAATGAGATTTTTTCCTTAATTTCCCTTTCTGATCTTTCATTGTTATAGGAATGCAAGAGATTTCTGTGCATTAATTTTGTATCCTGAAACTTTACCAAATTCATTGATTAGATCTAGTAGTTTTCTGGTGGCATTTTTAGGATTTTCTGTGTATAGCATCATGTCGTCTGCAGACAGTGACAGTTTTACTTCTTTTCCAATTTGGATTCCTTTTATTTCTTTTTCTTCTCTGATTGCTGTGGCTAGGACTTCCAAAACTGTGTTGAATAATTGAGGCGAGAGTGGACATCCTTGTTTTGTTCCTGGTCTTTGTGGAAATGCTTTTAGTTTTTCACCATTGAGAATGATTTTTGCTGTAGGCTTGTCATCTATGGCCTCTATTATGGTGAGGTAGGTTCCCTCTATGCCCATTTTCTGGAGAGTTTTTATCATAAATGGGTGTTGAATTTTGTCAAAAGCTTTTTCTGCACCTAT